AAAGTAATTATCTATTGCGAGCTGCGGCATACTGGTGCAATGGCTGGTTCGATCCTCTACTATTTACAAATCGACCGCTAGAATGAAACAATCAAAGAACAGCGAGTAGAACTGGCCAACAAAAATACAGTTGTATTCCATCATGACAATGCCATGTCACACACATCTCTGACTATTTGGAACAAACTCACGGAACTTGGTTATAAACTTAAGGTTGGACTATATGTACTTAGGTTGGCCAGGCTATCATTTTTTGCGAACTCTCTATCTTAATGGCAAGAATTGGCCAACTCAAGAACCGCTTAAAATTACTTGGCCAATGTAATACGACGATCTTATTAGATAGTTAGATATACATTGTTACCGATATATCTACTATATATGAATCACTAGATTCGTAAGAACAATATATTATATAGATATAAAAAAATCGTCATACTCATATTAAATAGTAGCGTAATTCTTGATCTGTTAATATCGACAATTATTTGGAATTTACTTAATACTATTTTTTTTTTGTTTAATTCAATGCACTTTTGGTGCGAATCTGATATTTTAAACTATATTGTCAGCATGTATATGTGAACATGTGGTGACGTATATGTATAGTTATATATATGTATATACGTCACCATTTATGCATATAGAGATAATTCGGTGTATTTTTGCAGTTGTTTGCAAACAACTGTGATACGAATACTAGTCCGAGTCCGAGTAACTTGCATAAAAACAATTTATTTACACTTTGCTCTTCCACTTCTATTAGGGAAAAACTTAGCTTTTTATTTTGATTACTTTCCCTCAGAGCGGGGTGCATAAATTTCATTTATTGAAATTATTCTAAATAAAATAACGTAAATGAGAGTAAATGGCGAGGGGAATGAAATAAAAATCGTATTTGAAAAACAATAAACTTGCGAAAATTTGCATATTAGAAAATAAGTTTTTATTGTGAAAATACAATTAAATAAAGGAGTTTTCGGATATTAAATTTAGTGTATTCAATATTTTTAATTATATTTTATAAGCAGTTTAAGCTATTATTTTAAACAGTTTATAGAAGCTAAATATTCAGATTTAATTTAATTAGAAAGAATTTTTTATTTGTAGAAATAGATATACAGCTTAGGATGATCCTTGGCTTATTTAATATACGTCTTCGATAGTCTACTATCTTATATAGTGATCATCTAATATATTTTACCTAATATTTCTAATTAGTTCTCGGTCTTCTTCTCTGTTTTGAATTAATATAGACTCGCGATGTGATTTCACATCAAAGGTGCTTTAAGTTTACTATATCTGCTTCTGCAGTAGTCTAAGAAACTCATTATTATTTTCCTTATGCGATTTTACTCATCTTATATTTGTGGAGGTTCGAATAATGAGCACAGTATATTCTTTTCGAATATTCAGAGCTTATTCTTCACAATGTAGTCTATTGTTTATATCTCACAGTCATACATTATGAGTTGCATTTTAAGTATTTTTGGTGAGGTTAATATAACCGTGAATATTATTATCGTTTTTAATTAAGTGTACAATTCTCGAAACACTTTCGAACTTCTACGTATATATTTTTACATTATAGAGTGTGCTCTATGTTCGTTAGATTTTTTGGATAGTAACAATAATTGTCATTTGATCAACATATGTAATCACAACAAAAAAGTAGTTGGGGTGATTGTATAGTAGGTTTTTGTCGCATTTGCTATCGCGTAAGATAATATGATGTTAAACAGCTTATTATATCACATTATTGCCTAATAGCCTAATTCTCAGAGAGATTTATCTGAATGAATGAATACTTGTGCTTTGGTGTTTTAATGTGTGGCTTATACGAGGTGAATTAATTAAGATATAAAGTTTGAAAGTTCTGTGCGCTATAGCTGTCTTATTACGGAAAACTCTGTCAAAGGCTTGTTGATAGTCAATTCTGGTGTTGATCTATTAGATTTTATACTGTATGATATTTTTCTGTACGTTGATCGGTTTTCTGTTTAAGGCATTTATCTAGGATACGAATATTTTCTAGCGTATGCTTAAAAGTGAAATTCCTCCATAAATTTTTTTTAAATGATTGTTTTGTTTCGTTGTTTTATAGGTGTAGAAAAGAAGATGCAAATTTATATTAATCAAACTACGATTTTACTTAATTTTTTTCATTACCAATAAATATTGGTAGCTCTTAAATCAGGAACACACTTTTTATAAAAACTCTCTTGAATATCAAAAAAAATCTTAATATAACATAAGGAGACATCCTAAAATAAGGGGTCTAAGGTAATGCAACGGACGATCTTCGTGGAGTCTGTCGTAAATACGCTCTTATAACTACACCTAACCAACTAATTTTGATTACTTAAAAAAATATTAAATGAAAATGGACCTTAATCTCTGATATATCAGAGAACAGCTTATCGTCATTTCATAGAAATACAAATAAGTCCGTACAGGATAGAGGGAAGATAATAAGATAAGCAAAATTAATATTTTTTAAACAAACATTTTTTGTCCTTGGAAATCAATACAGGATCTATGTTGATATCATTTAATATAAAGAAACTTACTGATAATTGTATGTCTGTACTTTCTTCTTAGCTTCTCGAACATTTGAAATCTTTGTCGTTAGTATGTGATAACATATTTACTTGACATAAAACGATTCGTATAAATGAAATTAAACCCCATAAATATTTTGTCGATACAATTTTGAATTGAGTCCATTTCAAATTCCTTAAATGTGATGTTGTGTGATGAATGTTAATAAACAATAACGATATTTGAATCTATCTATATTTCTATTATGTGCAACCTATAACTTTTGTATAAAAACCACATGCTGTGATTATAAAAAAAATATAATTAAACTAATAATTTATTTTGATTTTTTATGGCAAATTAGTAATTATAACTTAAAGTAGTAACTTAAATAACTTAAAGTGTATTTAACAGAAAGAATTTTTGAGATGTTTTGACCAGTTTTTTTTAAATTTGGTAGGCATATCGGTAAATATCTGACAATGAATGACCTTTCCACTTCATTACAATTCAATCACATTTAAAAAAAAACCGCCCAATTATTTTTTTTGACTATACTAATATAACATTCAAATTACAAAACAATATAATGATAGAAATAAATATATGTACTTACATATCTCTGATATCCGTAAGTCCCCAAAATGCTTCCGTATGTATAGAACTTATACGATTCCAGCTCAAATCACTAAAGATAAAAAAGACAATTTTTAAAGCATCATCTGATTTTTAATATCAAATATGAAATAATAAAAAATTATAAAAATAACTATAAAGGTAAAAACCTATGTGTATTAACTGATTATATTTTGATCTATAAAAAATACAGTAATAGCAATAAGAAATTGAGAAAAGAACAAATTAAGAAGAAGAAATTGGTGTGTGACTGATAATACTCATCTTTGGCATCCTAACTAGCATCCATAATTCGTTCTGAAAATAAAAATCATTGCCACAGTAATTTCTAGTTGACGTGGAGGAATAAAAATACGAATTGGATGCCAAATTAGCGCTATATATCGAATGTTTGTTCAATAAGCCAATTTTGCATTGAATGTGTAAAAGTTCTCTTTATGTTGCTATGATGGAAAACTATCGGTCTTTAGGTGTTAGCTGTCTTCATTTCTGCTAATAATTTTAACAAGCAAATTGTGGTGTGGCATTCAGAATCGACCTGTTCAGTATAATGGCTCTGTACCAACTGGATTAGTTTTTCCGACTGTTCAAGTCACATAGCTGCCGACCACATAGTTATAATTTGGTTCATCATAAAAACTCCATACAGTCAAGTGCTATTTAGTTATAAGATTTTATGGATAGTACATCCATGACTTGTCAGCAGTAACTATTTTATACACATGATTCGAATTACCATCATTTGTATATTTGTACATTTGTTTAATTAAAAAAAATTCTTTATAACGATCTTGCATTATCAGTATTTTCATAAAATCAACGTCCAAATTGCTTTAGTTTCACATTATCTCATATAAAGATTTTATTATCAGTTTTTACACATTATCAACGTTTTAAATAGTAAATCGCATAGTGGATATTCCACTACTACTCATGCCTGAAACACACCAAATAATTCTTAGTGTTTACGTTGATAAACAACACAAGAAACAGAAGAAGTTCACTAAAACTCAAAGCGACATATCCGAAACAGTACACTACTTTGTACTTTTTCTGACATTCCATATTAAATATTCAGTGTTTCTTTTTTACAAACATAGTGAACATATTTTAGTATGCATGAGAGATCAGTAAATATTTTAGGTATTTTAGTTTTAGTCAATCAAACGTTTTGGAAATGTTTCTAATTGCTTGTATAGCAAAAGATTTTGTTGGAATTAGACATTAACGAACGTCACAAGAAACAGAAGAAGTTCACTAAAACTCAAAGCGACATATCCGAAACAGTACACTACTTTGTACTTTTTCTGGCATTCCATATTAAATTTTCAGTGTTTCTTTTTACAAACAGTGTGCACTTTTTAGTATGCATGAAGAGATCAGTAAAATATTTTAGTGTATTTTAGTTTAGGTCAATCAAACGTTTTGGAAATGTTTCTAATTTGCTTGCATAGCAAAAGATTTTGTTGGAATTTAGTACATTAACGAACGTCACAAGAAACAGTAGAAGTTCACTAAAAATCAAAGCGACATATCCGAAACAGTAAAGTAGTGTACTTTTTGTGACATTCCATATTAAATTTTCAGTGTTTCTTTTTACAAACATAGTGCACTTTTTAGTATGCATGAAGAGATCAGTAAAATATTTTAGTGTATTTTAGTTTTGGTCAATCAAACGTTTTGGAAATGTTTCTAAAGTGCTTGTATAGCAAGAGATTTTGTTGGAATTTAAAATGTGTGTACAAATATTTCATCTGGGTTCTTTAATAAAGATATTAAATATACATTTATTAAGATTTACAAAATGAACCAGTGGTTTTTACAAAAAAAAAAAAAAATAGTACATCATATTTAGTACTGTAGACTTTTCTTTCATACTGGTTCATACTGGTTTTAAGCGAATGATATTCTCGATTAAATTCGTTCTAGGTGCGTTTCAGTACGAGAAAGCAAAGTGACGAATGCACTATTGTCCTGCAAATTATAAAAAAATCGTCGCATCAAAGTGGAATAAACTTTTCTTAAGTTAATTCCATTTTTTTACTGCGTCACAGCTTTTATATACTGTGCAAACTGATACTTGAGACTGAGACTCTGTGTATATCAGCTGATACCTAAGAAATTATGATGTCAATGGTCAAAATATAAATAATAAACGTAATAGTAATTTCACCGCTCAAAAAAAAATTGGAGTTTTTTATTAGACGTGACCTAAGAGACTGAAGAACTCTATTCATTTTTTTATTTTATTTAATCAATAGAAAATATAAAAGTGAATGAAATACATTTTTCTTTGTGATAATATATTTAATGTTACTTTGAAGATTCTTCATAAACAAATTAAGAACTATTTTGTTCTTAGCCATCACCACAATACTGCAACTTGTTTTATTTTATATAGACATTCTCGCTTGAATTAAAACTCAGTATTAACATATAGAAACTGAAGAGTACTTTAAAACATTGCAACTTAATTTTAAATGTAAAACTAACCTTTGGGACATATAACCGCTCAGACTTAAGTATTTTAAAAGGGTTCAGAATGTTTATAATAACTGTTCACTTAAATTAATCTCTTTTAGGGATGCAATTTAGACAAAAAATGTTTTATATTTTGTTACTCTAAATTTGTAATCACTTTTTCTATGCAACATTTATCTCATATTAAGTTTAACTGAAATATTTTACGTTTTTATTTGTTTATTTGAAAACATATCATGCTTAGAACTTCTCATTTAAAACCCTAACTAAATTTGGTTCAATCCCTTAAATCTATTAATTCATGTACACAAAACCGTTTTAAATTTATCTCTAACACTCTTTCATTTCAATTAGACGTAAACTAGATTTGTGCCAGTATTAAATTTACTGTTTAGCTTTGTAACTTAATCTTTCACTGCTGGACATATGGAAACCCAAAAGGGCCAAATAAAATCTTAACCCCACCATCCCACTACAAATGCTACAGGTTCAGAAGCTCAACTTCTGTACACAAATAGAAATTAAAAGTAACAGAAATCACACCGCACCGAAACGCAGAGACAACGGTATTATTTCATGTCCTTGAACATATTTTGCAAGGATAGCCCATTAAGGTGACAAATGTACTAAAATTGATCTTATTTGACAAAATAATGGTTTTCAATTTATTGTTTTTCTTTTTTTTTTACTTGGTTTTTCATTAACTTAAGCCCTACAATTTGCATACTCACTGGACTTTCAGCATTTCTGTTAGAATATTGAGCTTATTTGCCAATAAATAATAAACACATAAGTAAGGCAAAGTTAAAAGTAGACACATTAATTTGTCAAAAGGTACAGGGTTTGGGTCAACAGTGCGTATACGCAACATGTGTCGATTGCAGTCAGTCTCAGTTGAGGTTCAATACATGTTAATGTTGGAGTGTATTGTAAATGCTGTCTGCGATGGGTTGGAAAAAAATAAATTTTCTTTAATAATGTATATGGTTTACTCATATATAACAAAAATTGTTTATTTAATGTGTGAACGATAATAGTTAATCGTTCAACTTTCTGATTTATTGCGTATTGAATTATTTATGACTTTCGAAAATATGGAAGAATATTGCATTTTAATTATATATGCCAATCAAATTCAGTTTACATAAGGCAATAATATATAAATTTGTTAGATTTTAAGAACAAGGATAATTATTTCATTTTGAAAGTAATTTGCTGATGTACAATATGTATAGCACTGTTTGTTATATGCACTGATAAATAATCGTTTTTTACAGATTCTCTCTTCTCTAATAAATAAAAAATATATTTAAAAAGTGGTTTAGTTTAAACATCTATATTTATTTAAAAAAATTTAATATTTATTTAAACAATTTTTCTGTTAAATGTTTTTTAATAAAAAAAGTCTTCACTTTCACATATTAATTAAAATAACCTTCGCGTCCCATATTTAATTATGATTTTAAGGTATAACCAATTAATTAAAAGAGCATCACAATTCACATATTTGAGAAAGCTGCTCCACTATATATAATATGAATTTTTATATTACTATAATTCATAAATTAAATGTGTAGTAATTCATACAACTAATTTATAAATCTGAAATGATAACGATTAAACTAAATACGCATAAACAAATTTTCTAATATTTAAACGCATCATGATAACATAATATCGTCGTTCATATCGCCCAGGATCCCATAAAATACAATATTTTTTTAAACACTTCTATCTGGTTTCTATGGCTTAAGTCTGAAATTCTAGATTTAAAATCTAAAATCCAAGTTAAGGGGCATGTTGCCCTTAACCAGAATGCATTATCAGATTTAGTAAATTTCAATCACAAAAAGTTATCATTATTCCATCCTCGTCTGTAATTGGCAGAAACAGAAACTTATAGGTAAAAGGCACAGAAGCTCTCCAATAGAAACTCATTTGGCCGGAATCTTACACTAAAGTTAGCCTAGAACTGCTATTCTGTGAGTTAATACTTCTACACTCGTAAACTAAATGAGGTGTAAGAAGTATTTGATTTATTTGATTATATATGAGTTTATGGAGTAACTGGTTATATCGCTATTGGTTTTTGATCTATCGGTTAGGTCTTAAGTTGCTCAATTCACAAAATGCGCATAGGTGTTATTAAGTAGCATAACTTATTTCATTTTTAATTACACTAGTAAACTCAATTATTCATTTTATTTTCAATGCTACTAATTAACAGGTTTTAATATTTTTAGTCATTTAATATGGCTTTACGAGTAACTGGTGCTTTCAATCGTACCTGTGTGTAATGTTAAAAATACATACCAATACACTAATTGATTTTAACCTAGTTGCTCCATAATTAACCAGATATTCACATTGTGACAAATCCTGGTAAATGTTCACAGTCATCGCTCCGACAGCCATAATTTTTTTGTTGATTGTAAAGCAGCTATCCACAACAACATAACATATTAAATTCACGCCGCAATGCCTCAGCTCGGTAACCTTGGCGCTTATAGTTTCGAAGCTGTCAAGGATTTCATTTATCTTAGCACAGCCATAACTAACAACAACGATGACAGCCTAGAAAGCATTGCCAATAGGTGCTTCTATGAGCTTAGAAAGCAAGTGAGATATAGATGGTCTCTCCACTGGCAAAATTACACTCTATAAGTCATTTATCCTACCTGTGTTTTCTGTATGGTGGAAAAGCATGTACGCTATCACAGAAGAATGAACCCGCACTGAAATATCTTTGATCCTGGTACCGACTACCATATCTGAATGAAACAAGCTATAAAGCCATATGCGCTTTATTAACAACATTTAGCAAATTAACATTCAATAAGTTGACTAGTTTGGGCATGTCATGAGAATGGATGACAATGCTCCATGGAAAAAGATGGAAGTAGCAGTTAAAGGAAGAAGACGTGGAGGAAGACCGGATCTTCGGTGAAATTATCAAATTAAGGATGCACTAGCCGCACTTGATCTTTGTTACTTTCGGGTTTTTTACCTAAATATGAACAGAGTAAGTATATGAGAGAGTAAGTCTATTTTCCATAAGTGCCGATCCACTTTTAACGGAAATAGGCAACATCTCTACAAGGGACATAATGACATTCTTAACTGCTTCGAGCCTATCGAACTAAAGTGGGTTTGTTACAATAATTCTCAAAGGATGCAGTGACGTGGTGGCATAGTGCCTAACCCTTTCAAAACTATCTAAGTCTGTTTTCTCTCAACTTCAAAATGTTAATAAGTAGAGCAGACATTTTTAAACAATTTAAAATGTTTTTTAAACGTAAGTTTTGTGAATTAACTGAACCGTAAACCGAAAAATTTGATATTTTTGCCAGGACCAAATCCAACAAAGCAAATTATATTGGTTATTTTCAGAAGTTATAAAACTATTTTTTCAAAATTGAAGAGAAAACCGGAGCGTGCAAATTTCCGGTACGAAGCCCTGGTATAAGCAAGTGATACTTAATCTTGTTCTTACATAAAGCAGGAAATTGGAAGCTTACAAACAGTTTAACGTTGGTTACGAAATATTTATTATTTTAATCAAATACAGTATATAAATGAAATAACATAGAAAGGCCAACATCTACCATATGAGTAATATCACCCAATTCCCAATATTAATTTTTTTTTTTACGTTCCAACTATAGCTTTGACCTTCACTTTTTTCTTTTCAATATAACAGACACAATTTTTTGTACCATAAATAATTTAGCCAATATTTAATGAATTTAAATAAATTCTGCCTTAATTTTCACAAAAAATATTCAGTAGAATATTTTATTAAGAAAATTTAAGTTTCAATTTTATGTTAAGCAATTTTTTTACTTACAGTAAATGCAAATTATCCAATTGTGCAAAGGTCTCTCCGATATATTCAATTCTATTATAATCCAAATAACTGTAAAAGAAATACAAAAACAAAAATTAAGATACGATATAAAAGAAAAAAATAAAGTATTCACACAAGCGACAAAAAAGCGAAGGGTTAAGCCAGGCATGGGCAACCATGTTGAATGCTTTTTAACAAACCAAAAATATTTAAAATTTATAAAGTTGCAATATTTAATAATCAGAAATGTAAAAAATACATATAATTTCTTCGAATTGGTGTCAACTAACACAGTATAGTCTTCAAATATATAAAATTTATAAATGTTTCTATTCTATATAATGAATTCTGCATAGTTATATAGAGTGGTCAATGTTTAAATACTGCAAAACAAAGTGCTAATATGAAAGGAAATCTAACGCAGAAATAACAAGGTAAATGATTCTCAAAAATGCTGCGATTTGCAAGCATAGACGTTAAAAAAATTATATACATTACACCACAAATAATGATTGTGATTAGTAGACTTGCAACTGGAAATAGATAAAGAACTAATAGAGAACATCAAAAAACACGAATTTATATTTTGAAGAACAAAATTTTCAAAAAATATTACTTAACTATTATTAACTAAATTTCTTTGTTAAACGAATTAATTAATTCTAACGAATTTTTTGATCTAACAAAAGAATTGTACAAAAAACTTTTTGTTAAAGTGAACGATTATTGAAATAACATATACTGGTTTTAACATGTCAAGTTCATAACACCATAATTAATCAACATTAACAAGCGGCTGTCCCTACTCATAATAGACAAACCAACGCCTTATATGTGAAGAATATCAGTTAGCATATTAGTGCTATAGATTTTTGACGTTACATATTTATATATATTTATATATTTTGTTCATGTAATGCAAAAGTCTGCAATACATATTAGCAAATGCTATGATGCAACACTATTCGCACCGAATCGTAAATACGGTTATTAATCGGACCATAAACCTGGATGGTGACAAGTGATGCATAGTTTCCTCTTCGCCAAAAATTATGACATAATTTTAGGGGCAGTGAAAAAAAAATAATAATTTCCATATATCTGATCTTTATTCAGAAACATTTCGCATCTCGCATTTCTATTAAAACGAAATGTTGGTTTGAACTAAAACAATGTTGTTTTTGACTTCTACAAATACAAATACTGACTGAGTAAAAAAGGCCTAAGACAAATTCGTTAGATTAGATTAAATTACGAAAAGGATGATTTTAAATAAGATGTTCTAGAGTGTGTCAAACATTTTCTGTCTAAATATATAGAATTACTTATATTGCACAAATAAATTGCATAACTGAATAAAATATATTTTATTTTCTAAAAAAATTGTATTCTCACATGGTATTAAAATAAAAAAAGAAAGAAGAATTTAATTTAGAACTAAGAAGAGTTGAAAAACATGCTCTATAAAATGTTTTCAATTTGAAAGTACTTCCAATGACAATTTTTTGTCTTGAAAGCATGTTACTCCGGAACCTTCCAACATCAATGAAATGAAGTTATAAGTTAATCATATGCTTATTTGTTGTTATTTGTTGTCTATTACAAGCAATTTAATACTAAAATCAGAACTTGCATTGATGCATTATTAAAACTATTATTATTCTTATGAGATTAGATTCATATGTTCCGAAAAATTTACATCGCAGCTTATTATATTAATCACAATTATATTATATTAATATATATTTGCACAAAACCAATAAAAATCTGTTTCAAATAAATTCATTTTTTAAGGTGATATGGGATTGTAAACTTCTTTAAAACAATTAAATAAATCTAAAAATGATATCATTACATATTTTAAAACAATAAAGATGTTAGCTAGCTTAAGCTCTGCCGAAGCTTACTATAGATACACTTTACATTTATATATATTTATATATAATAAATAGTATTATCTTATCTATTTTATATAACAATATATATGTGACAAAAAAGTTTTTCTAAGAAATACATGTTCCAATATCATCTGAATATTTAAGAGCTATATTTATAGTACATACCAAAGAAAATGTATGCCTGATTCGGTATTTTCTATGGCAGCTATATTAAAATCTGAACCGATAAAGCTATATAAAATCCTATATAATCTCTTATGTACCAATCTTTATTTGTATATTTTTCTTAAAAACAAGAAAACAATTTCTCAATTGTTGTCTGACAAATCCGACGACGATCAGATCTCGAAAAGTATGTACGTAAAGTTTTATTTTAATGACTGAAAAAATGAGTAGTTTGGGTTAAAATGGACAGCTGGATAAGACTAAATGAACTCGTCGAGCTTGATAAAAAATAAATATATATATTTATAGGATCTACGATATTTACTTTGATATTTTGCAAAAATCTTGCCTGTTTAGATTAAAAAAAATCGAGTTAATTAAATTATTAAAAAAGTATTTAGTGTTGCTAAAGTGTGATACTTTTACTATATATCAAACATACATCAATAAGTTTATGTTATCAAATGAACTGCACACTGGTTTCCCATTCATGCTTCTGACTTATATTATCCTAAAGATTTTGTTAAACTTGCTGCTAAAATAGGCTGAAAACTCGGTTGTTTATGTCATCGCAAATTAAGTAAAATTCACGCATCAATAATTTTACGCTCATATAAAAATCACTCTAATACAAAAAATAAAAAATAATAAAAACTAAGAAATATTTTAACCCAAGACATAACGTAACCCAAAGAAAGAAAATGAAATTTAAAACACGAGAAAAAAGGGAAAATGTCAATAACATTTTACAGAAGCGATTTACTTTTATTACTGCTACCAGGCAAGGCAGCATCAATCGCACAAATCTGCCTTTCCCAACAAAATAAACGTTGCCTCAAAACATATGTTTGACTTTTCCGTCCGCAAATCACACACTACCCCATTGCCGGCATCGACAAAACCCTTTCGATTTGCCTTCAACGCTCATTTAAGTTTATTAGCAGTGCAATACTTACAGCTCGTATAGGCGATTCATGCGTGGAAATTTATCATTACGCAATGTGAGTAAGTTATCGCTCAGCATTAACCATTCCAGTCTTGGCATATCCAGCAAATGTGTCAATGGAAAATGCTCCAGTCGATTTGATATTAGGAATAACCATTGCAGCGACACTAGGCCGTGAAAAACACCAAACGACAAACTGCTAAAATTATTGTAGCGCACATCTAGGCGCTCCAGTTGTGGAAGCCCACGAAATGTTCCTTGAGGTAGTACTGATATGCTGTTGTACTTTAAGGTACTGTAACCGGCGCCACATGAAACGAAAGATATTAAAAGGAGAATAGAATAGCGAAACGGATTTAGATTGTGGAAAGGAATTAACTTCTCTGGAAATTTAATTCTGTTTTTAATGTCGGTGATTTTCACTCCTGATTGTATATCAGCGAGGGTTAGTATATATAAAAACGTTCTTAAATGTAAACGTTTAGAGGTATTGTTTATACTTACAGCCTTTGTAAATGCTTAAGTTTACTAAATGCATTTTCACGCAGAGTTAAATTGTTTCGGTTGATCATTAAATTTGTCACCTGTGTAAATAAATTTAAATTTTTGAACTCTTAATTGTTGTTGGTAGTTTTGTTTATATATTTTGGTTTGATTAAAATTAGTAAACTTGGAAAACTTTTGGATTCCACTTACCTCTGCGCTTATCTTTGGTATTCTGTTGATTTTTGCATATTGACCGCAATAAAGTATTGTTTTTGATCTACAGGTACACTGTTTCGGATATGTTACGATTTCTGTAAAGCGATAGAAATAACTCAAATTAGATGTAAGTAAATAATACAATATGTTCTACTATTTCTTTTAAGAAATCTAAGCAGAAATTGTTTTGAGTAATAAAAATAATGTATAGAAGGTGTACTTTGCAGTTTTCGTAATGAAATCGAAAAGAGTTTGAATGGAAACTAAAAATCCTACCTTTTACTAGAATAAACTAGAATAATAATAATTTCTATTTTTAATTATAAAACTTAAGCATAGGAATAGTTTTAATTAAGTTGCAAATAATTAGAAGAAAGAATAAAATCATTAGTGGAAACTCTCTAAAGTATGTTCTTAAAATTTATTCCATTCTTCCCGAAATCGACACTTAAAACTATTCAGTGAATCATGTTCACATAATATACATGTTGCTAAGAAGCTTCTAGACATGTTGAATCATGTTCACATAATAGACATGTTGCTAAAAAGATTCTAGACATGTTGCTGATACTATAAGAGAAATAAAATCCTTGATTTTTCCAATATCTTCGTGCATTTATCTATTGATGTAAAAAAAAATCACAATAGTGAATAGTAATTGACACTCAGATAATACTGTCACATTTGAGATATGAGTCAAAATTTATTATAAAATTAGTGACCTATATTATAATATTTACTTGACTTTTTACTGTTCATTGCATGGCATCTAACTAGAATCATAGTTGTCAGACTGTCAAAAATAGTAGAGGCACGACTTAAGCCCCACTAATCAATTGCATATTGAAAATAATCTCGTCATTTTCTAATGCACCTAGGTTCTTCAAATAGATCCAGAATGGATTCCGTTTCTTCTCACTTCTTACTTGTATTCATATTATTAAACTCTATAAAAAAAAATTTACACTAACTGTGTGTTACTAACCTATTTTCGGTGTCACAAGGGTCTGGTTATTACAACTCATACAAGACTTATGACTGCTTAAAATAGCAGTCATAGCAATTCAATAAAAACTGAATGCTTTTTTAATATAATATAACAATCTACATTGTCAAAAGTCAAAAAACTATATAATTGCTTCGTGACGTATCAAGGATATGAGATTAAGAGATAGAGCAAGCATTCCATTGGCAATATAATCTGCAGTTAATACACTGCAAAAAAAAACATTTTCTAGTATACCTTTCGAGCACAATTCTGTCTACGACACTATTATGGTTTCTACATATATAGTTGCAGTTTGAGAGCAATGTCGAACTGTTTAATTGATCTAATAAATTAACTTTATACAAACATACACATTGTTTTGATGCAATTACACAGTTAGTGTCTAAATGGTTTAGATCTTAATATAAAAGATCCTATTATGATCCTATTATTCACCAATTTAATAGGTAGCTACAGGTACTGAGGAATCGAATCCAAAAATATCGATAAAACTAGTTAGAACGGATTTTGTTTTATCTTTAACGAAGTATATTGAGAAATATAGTTTTCCTATCTATATCAAATCTTGAAGTATTAAAGAGATAATTAATGGTTATTGACATTATCTGAAGAATCTTTATAGACTTAAAATGAACATACTCTATTTCGATATTTGTCACGAGCTCTCTCATTTTTTAACACTAACTTTAGAAAAATATACATTTCTAATTCTAATTTCTTATTCTGTACTATATCTTATTAAGTTTTGTTCTATTAAATTTTATTTTTATTCTAATAATTTTGTATTTTTCTTTCTTATTGGATATTAAAAATTCCAAAGACTATATAAACTTTTATTGCTTATGTTCACTAAGCTTAGCAATTATTTTAAAACGTTTAACAGAAAGTCTCTGACAAACTTAATATCATTGTCCTTTTCAACAATTTTTGTGGTACTTAAATGACTTCCTTAGGTGTTGGCTTAAATATCAAATATCAAATTTCTTTATAAAATTAATATTTTAAATCCAATTACTTTTGGTATTTAACTTACCACAATCTGGTTGCGTTTTATTTGCACTACTGCCACTTTGGCTTTTGCTATAACTATTATTTGTATCAGTGATACCACCATTGCTGCTTGGCGTAATAGTTCCATTTGCTGTTGACGTGCCTACAACTCCAACTCTAGATCCGTTGTAGTTGATGTTGTTACTGTTGTTGATGTTGTTGGTGGTGTTGGAGTTGTTGCTGCTTTTCCCAGCAGTTCCTTTCAATTGTTGCTTGTGTTTCTCCATTTGTATGCCTACAATTTTATTGGTCAATTCCGTACTGCCATAAAGCAAACCACACTCCACAGGATGCTCATCGCTTTGGTCCTTACAATCCAAGCGATTATCACAAATTTGACGTTGTGGCACGCACAATTTACCATTGTCACAGGCGAATGTGCCACGAGGGCAGGGTCCTTTTGCAAAATAGTCAAAATAGAAAAAAAAAATGTTATTACAAAATGAAAATGACAAATTTATTATTATTGTTTTTCCCCAAAATTTTCCTTCTAATAGTATAGATTTTTCTTAATATTCATGATATAAAAATGTTTTCCATTTTTTTTTTTTTTCGTATATTTACAATGCGTAATCAATTTTTTCATTTTATATTTTAATTTTGTCTATTTTGAAGTGTTTTGTAGCTATTATTGTGCGCTAGAAACACATAATTAACGAGATACAATAGTTATTTCAACCGAAAAAAAAATAGAAAAATGAAATCGAAATAATTTATTGTAATTTCAAACTATTGAAATTATATGGGCAAAGTTTTCGCCATAGTTGCCATATTGTTTTGTGTATTTCAAAAAAAATTAACAACAATTTTGCTAAACTCAGTATTTCATAATGGTTAAGATACTATTTTAGTAATACTCTGCTATCTGTTAGATAAAGTTAATACGGTTTTTTATCTGTTAATGGCAGTTGGTAACTTTTATGACAATAACTACTCAAATGTCACTCAATTTTGGGCACATAAAAATTTATTTTATTAGTCACTCACCATTAAAACGACGTTAAAACCATTCACTCAAATTGATTTATTTTCATAATGATTTGAATATAAAGGGATTTTAAAATATCTTACGAAACCCCCTCTCAGCATACTCAAACTATTCCTTTAAACATACTCAACATATGCAAATAGAGATAATTTCTTTTAAGACCTTACTTCGTTATTACAATTTATGAAAACTCTTAATGTTTACAACGTGACACGCTAACAAAACAATATAATAGGTCAAGAGTAATAAGAAAAAATATTTTTTTTAATACTTTCTTAATTTAGTAACGTATAATGCGTACCTTCATTATAAAACAAGGTCATATACGTATAACGCAATGAAAATTTAAAATAAAGACACAGGATTGAATTTACAAAAATTGGTCCAGTAACGTATGTCCCTTTGAACCCAGCATTCTGCAACATGCACCCATCGTACTTTACAGAAGTCTACAGAATTGCTTTTTAAAGTTATTTTTCAATAGCCTTCTCTTCTTTACAACCAGCGCTATGACCATAACCTGTGGTAACAATTTAAAGATATGCTAGATAATATGTTGAAGCAAGAATGAATCCTTCTCAGCACACACCAAAAGAGAATTCGATATTTGTACGCTATATTCTAATGTGAACATAGTAGAAATAATTCTTTGGAACATTGTTATGCGTTCAGCTATAATAGCAGTTTCTACAATAAGAATAAAGATCCTAAGTCTAAATTATATGACCAGCGCTATGCCTCCGGTTGAAAAGGGTAATGATCTTCGTAAAATAATCATATCTCATACCGCATAAAGAAACTAAACAATCACAGTGTAAAATTTATGGAACGCTTAAATAACTGTGATTTCAATAATGATAAATTCTGGACAATTTCAATCGATCGCAACTCGTTATCTAATGTACTATATAAAGCAGTAATGTTTAGTTGGTAACTATCGCTGCTCTCCAAGTTATTGGAAAGCTGAAGCTATATGGGCGCTGCTGCAAAGCCTGATCGCTTACTTAAGACGGACTCTCAAAGTATTTACTCAATGACCTGACTCAAGATAAAAATGTCCCCCTTTTACGATCTTAATGCTATTTACACGACATCTTGAGTGTCATTATAGATAGTATGCTTACATATGATATACGGAGAATATCACTTCTTTATATAGGCAATTGAAATGTCATAGAAACATGTTAAGAACACTCACTACTGAGTACATACGTAGTATTTGATGACCTATAGCTGCCAATGTGGATTCTTCCCTGCTACAATATCACATGTAATAATATTTAGTTATAGTAAAATTTTGCCCTTTTTGCACTAAGAATAAATAAAATCTAACAATAAAGTTCCTGGATCTGATCCATTCGTTATATATGGAATACATATACAGGAAAACTATTAAAATGGCGGCACCATATATAACATTAACTGAAGAGGACTTTTAATTATACACTCTGATGCAGTATCCCTGTAAAAAGTTCATATCTTAATATCAATTTTTCCCTCTGGACTTTGCCTACTACCTTTCAGAAAAAACGTCACATGGTCAAGATGACGTCACAATGTCAATTATTATAATCTAAATAATATTCATCAATGAATATTATTGAATGAACAATCATTCAATGAAGAATGACAAGGTTCTTCAACCTTAATACGGTCTAGATTAAAATTCCCCATATCTCGTTCACGTCTTCCTATTTACATTATCCGATACTATCTAGTTTCTTTCAGTACAGTAATTTTATTTCACAGATAATCAACACGTGCAAGCTTTAGTTATTGACACGATAGCAGTAAACACTGATCGTTTTAACGGAGTGTGCTCAATTATTGAAAAACGCTTAGAAAAAGATCTTTCATATTTAGCTTGCAGACATCACATTTACGAAATTATTCTCAAAAGTGTTTTCCATGCCAAGATTTGGAAGTCTGAAAGTCCATATGTTTAACTATTTTAACAATTTCAAAAGTTTTGGCCAGAAATGAACGATTTAGTATTAGTACCTTCTAGAATTAGCACCTTTTTTAGAAGAAATAATATTAGAAGAAATATTAAATTAAATTACATTCATAGCACTTACAAACCTAGCAATAAAATGGTTATTTTACAAACTTTGGAGCTCTTGGGGGCCATTTCCACTTTTGAACTAATTGAACTAAAATTTTACACAGATTATTTTTTCAGTAAAATGAACCGATCTGGAGGGTGCCGTCAACCGATTTTTCGGGAAATAAATTGTCATATACCTTAATGGCACCCTAACTTAATATATACTACGGATGGGTTGCAATATTTGAACGACGGTACTTATTATTTTAATCATACTTATTTAATGAAACCATAGATTCATATCACTGTCATGCAGCTTAAGATAAATTCCAGAACTCAAAAATAGTAAAAAATGTTTATTTAAATATTTTTTATGTATGCATAATATTTGTTTTGATTTCTGAAATTACCTCCAAAAACGAGAAGAAAACCCACAACAATATATGACAAAAACAGTACAGAACGGTTCCAAATATTTATGATGAGAAATAGTTCAGTTCAATAAAAAATAAAAATAAATTCATTTTAATTGCTAATGAAAGTAATCAACAATATTAAAGAATTTAATAACTGAGTCAAAATTAATTGAAAGAATTTAATTCAAGACCTTGACACAAAAAGAAGTTAACTCGATTTTTGTTAAAAATGCAAATATGACGGCACTCTACTTCTGGATGATAAAGCTTCGTTTATTACACGATTATTTAACAACAATATGTGATATTTCTAGCTAAACAGAGATGTGTCGATTAGATGAAAACTTACGAAATTCGGCTAATAATATTTACTGAGCATGAGTTAGCAACGCAAATATTGAAGCGCTCTAAATTTACTAAGACACTTTATATTTAATACAGTTTAAGCATTATAAGCAAATAATAAATTATTTTTATATTAAAAATATTGTATTATATATAAATTATAATATATATATATATATGTATATAAATAATATAATATAAATAATAATATATTAATAAAATAATAATATTAAAAATATTATTTTTAATATTCCCAAGGTAAGAAGAAGGTAAAATTTTTTAAGGCATGCGTCAAATCGGTATGCCTATATGGGTTGGAAACCTGACTTGAAATCGAAAGAAGATTGCAATCATTTATCAATTGATGCCTGCGCAACATATTAGGCATATGATGGCCTAGAACAATTTCAAATGAAGAACTATGGAGTATAACGCACCAAACAAAGGTAAACAATGAGATAAGAAAAAGGAAGTATGATTGAATTGGACATACACTGCGTAAGCCTTATAAAGATATCGCGCATGCTGCAATTACTTGAAACCCCCAGGGGTCTTGGAGCAGAGGCAGACCAGTAATGACATGGAGAAGGATAGTTCAGTAGGAGATGGGCAAATCGTTTAACAAGTTGAGAGCAATAGCACAAAATAGAAACCAGTGGAAAACTTTTATAGACTCCTTAAGCTCCTAATGGAGTATGGAAATATTAATAACAATTTAAATATTTTTAGATTAAGATGAAGAAGATCAAGAGCATAAACAATCTTGGTCCTTTTCTAGCTATGTTTTGAGTACTGGTTGCACAAATCATCCTTTTTTTACTTCTTATCTGCGCCTATCAAGAATTTAAATACTCCTGAAGAAAGTGAAATCTTAACTTTTATCTACGAAGTATGATCACAGGAGTAGATTAATAGAAATGATTGTACAAAAGTTCTGTTACGCATTCAAGTTATAATATACTTAATTATTATTTAATAATTAGATTTATTATTTTAATAT